CCACCTGTCCTCCTACATCTGCTGCCCTCTCATCCATCCCCAGCCCAAGGCTCCATGACCCCTGCAGCCACAACCAGCAGCTCCCATGGACCAGCGGAGTCTATGATTGTGGTTCCCACAGCCAGGTTACCCAGGAGCACACTCTCATCTGGAAAGTTTCCAAGCATACACATTCTACAAGAGCCCCATATCTGGTCAGCTATATGCTTCCAGATCTTTCTCAGCAAAGTATGGGTGTGCATTGTGGGGTTACCCTGACGTCCTGTCTTCCTGCTGACTGGCCGTGCAGACCTGTCCTCACCGAGGGGCAATAACCCCCAGCCTGCTAGCTGCTGCACAGCTTTCCCAGGGGACATGTGCCTTCACTCTACCTCTTGGCTCTGCCCGGTGTTTCGGTCCCATCAAGTTTCTACCCCCTGCAGAATGCCACAGGGGAGCCGTGTGCACATGCTCTGCAAATGGGTTGAAGAGGGTACAGAGACCCAGGAGGCAGAATGGCCAGTGAGAGGATGATGCTCTTAGGTGAGCCCAACTCCCTCCAAATATCCGGCACAGGTACCATCTGCTGTGCAAGGGGAGTGTCCTGACCAGCACCACAACCTGCCATGGCAGCCTTCCTCAGGGTGGCAGGAAACACCCTCACCATGGTTTCCCTGCAAATCCCAGGGGTTGTGCATCTTACAGCCACCTGCACGCCTTTGTCCACAAATCACCAATTTGGGTACAGGATCCTGGGCTTTTACTGCGCAATCTGTAGTGAGGTACACGTGGTGTGGGCAGGCTCACAACCTGTCTACTCCAGGAGCTGCAAATATTTTCTCCCCATACTGCCCTGCCTCATAGCCTTGCCTGTGGCACTGCCTATCGGAAACAGTGTGTTACTTTACCACAAGTTTTCCCACTCCTACTACAGAGCAGCAACCCTCCCTGTCCCCAAGTTAGAGCCCATTTCCCTGGGCTTCATTGTGTGGTTGTATTTTGGCTTAGTTCTCAGGTCAGCCTGTGGTCTGCTCTGGTGGGTGCTGTGCGGTATGGACCCCCTTGCCTCCCAGCTACTGGGCGTCCATCCGGTCCATGCTGGGCTTCCTACCTCAGCCATACCCAGACACCCAGTCCCAGGTCTCTGCAGGGCCCTGTCATTCATGAGGCCTCTCAGCTTTGGCACATGCTCTGGTATCTGTCTGGAGGACAAGTCTCCCTCTTGGCTAGTCACTGAATTTTCTAAAACTCTAACAAATTGTGCTGGGCCATGCCCCACCCCTGCTTACCACACCTGGCACTGTGCGTGTGCCAGTGTCCAGGAAGTGACACAAGCGAGCCCCATGGCAGACAGCACACTGCTCAGCACTTGTACAGAAACCAGAAATAAGACTCATCCATTAGGACAGAAGTCAGGGCAGGGCCACCTGGTCTGGGGGACAAGAGGGGACACAGGGGACATTGGGGTACTGGCATAGCTTCTTGACATGGATGCTAATGGTATGGCTGGGCCCACTGTACAACCCATGGAGGTGCTCATTTAAAGCACATGCGCTCTTACAGGCAGGCTGGCGTGGGGAGGAATTCCGGAAAGGCTGAAGAAGAGGCTGTTTGTTTATGAGAGACTGGGCAAGAGTGGACCTGGCCCTGGCTCAAACCCTTCAAAGCAGGACCCATTGCAGCTGAGCTGCTGTGAGTTCCACATGACACACAACCCACCTGAGCAGAGAGCAAAGCCACACCTGACAACCGGGGTGCCAGAGGAGGGGAGCCTAAGCCCTCCGTGGGATCACTTTCCTTTGTCAATTAAAAAGGCCAACAGGGGGGCGCCTGGGTGGCTCAGTCGGTTAGGCAGCCGACTTCGGCTCAGGTCATGATCTCGCGGTCCGTGAGTTCGAGCCCCGCGTCGGGCTCTGTGCTGACAGCTCGGAGCCTGGAGCCTGTTTCGGATTCTGTGTCTCCCTCTCTCTCTGACCCTCCCCCGTTCATGCTCTGTCTCTCTCTGTCTCAAAAATAAATAAATGTTAAAAAAAAAAAAAAAAAAAGGCCAACAGGCCTCTGGACGACATGCTAGGCCAGAATGCAGCAAACGATGACAGGAATGCACATGAATGAATGGGAAGGTATTCTGGCCTCAACAGAGCCGGGGGGGCCTAGACACTCGGAAAACTGAGGCTTCCGATTCACATCACATCAATCTCCTACCAGGCTGGCTGCATACGTTAAGGCTTTGCACAGAGGTTACCTGGACCCAAGAATCTGCAGCCCCATTTCACTCTGCCAAGCACTTTACACGTTTTGGGATAATTTTTAAGGCAAGACAGCCTGACTGTTTTTCTTTAGAGCATGCAGAGGACAGGGGCCCTCCGGCTTCACACGGCAGGGCTGAGGAGCCAGACACCTCATCCTCGCCCCATGCGGCCCAGGCTATCACTGTGGCAGCCCCCAGGGCCAGAGCTGGAAAGCATCCACTGCTCTTTTCGCATGATGCGTAATGTCTTCCCAGCAGCTGCCAGCAGAGGAGGTAAACACACATGGGAACACAGTGTTGCTGTTCTGGGGGCCTTGGCTGAGAAAGCCCTGACGTCTGTAAATATTCTGAGCAGCGGCCCACTGCAACATACCCCCCCGCCACCAGCACGCCAGCCCAGCTCAGCTCAGCAACTGAGACTCTACAATCTATGCTTTGTCGTTCTGGTTGAGTGGCATTTCACCGTGACAAATTTTCCACAGGGATACTCTCTCCTAAGATCTCCACGATGCTTAGGGAGCACTAATTCAACCCCACACCAAGTGTCACTGTCCCTGCATTTCAAAGGAGTGACACACATGAGGGGAACAATGAATATTACAGAAAGCCCTGGACACAGGACAGCCCCTGTACCTTAACCCTTCCTGGCTTCCCCACAAGCCAGGGGCCAGCCCAGCCTCACAGTGGCCCCACTGCCCCCATGCTTAATAAAGGACAAAGGAGTATTCCCACTAACCCCTCAAAAGATCAAAAGAGGGTGAAAGCAAGCACTTAAAATTAGTGTGATCCTGAAATCTTTCACACATGTACCCTGAGTGTCAGTAGCCACCAAGAGATGGTGGATGGCTCTTTTTACTTTTAAGTGTATATATATCATTTTTGCAAATCTAAAAAAGAAAAGTTGAGAGAGATTAAAAAAAAAAAAAAAAAAAAAGGCTGCACTGATAACCTGGAAAGTCAGCTCAGTGTCCTGAGGCAACCTTGTTTTCATGGAACCCATCACCCAACCCCCATGGCCTGGACCAACAGATTCCATGGTGCTGCCCTCACGAACAGACATGTCACCAAAGGATGGACTCGGTTCTCACACATCTGGTGTGTCAATGACAAGTGTGGCACCACTTCTAAAAGCCCTTCCAGCCTCTCTGCCATAGGCCATTTAACTCCAGACATACTCTGGAGGCCCCTCACTTCTCCACAGAAATCCTCAGAATTAGCAGGCTGAGAAATAGCCTCCATGCACAGGCACCAAGGATGCCTTCAGAGAGCTCGCCCTCTGGTGCAGAAGCCAGACACAAGAACGAGACCCCAAGACATTGCACAATTACATCCACAGTGAAACATAACTAAAAGCCCACAAAATGAGGTCACAAAAGAAGCATAGAGTAGTAACAACAGCTCAGGGACTGGGCAGCCAGGGCAGAGCTGATGGCCAGTTTCCTTCATTCAGGGAAGGCTGTTGTCACCACAATATCCAAGCAGGCAGTGGCAGCAACCCAGTCAGAGTGGCTTGCAGTCTGTGGACACGCCAGTATCATGAAGCCACAGGAATGGGGCTAATGATCAAAGGCCAGATAAGGGGGGCGGGGGCACCAGGGTAGCCCACCCACCACACAGGAGCACTATGATCCTGGAGAGGAGGGGACAGAGGCTCTACTGTGTCCTCCTGCCTCCAGGCCACCAGACAGGTCACCCAAAGCAGGCAGGATCCTGAGACAGTGGCCCAGGTGGAACAGAGGCACTGGAACCTGGCCCTGGCTCTGCGTGACCTTGGAAACACCATCTGCCCCTCAGCCTGAGTTTTCTTCGCTGTGGACAACATCCAATCAATGAAGATTTGCCCAAAAAAGTTGCCCAGAGGATTAACAAGCAAGTTTGAGAAAGCATTCCAAAGTGCTACCAGCTGTAGGCACCCCTTATAGCTGTCATCACATCACATCTGCCTCACGGAAGAAAGCTCTGAGCCTAAACAGCAGCAGCAAAACAGCAGCAGCAAAACAGCAGTCAGCAGGTCAGGAGCAGGACGCCAGGCCAGGCCTGAGCCCAGCATGTGATATCCCTGCTGGAGGAAAAGGGCTGAGGCTCAGGGATTGGTCCAAGGGCAGAAGACTCTGTCTAAAGCTGTGGCCCAGGGGTAGGCCATGAAGCACCTGACACGCTGCAGTCAGGGAAGGGGGTCTGAAAGCCCAGCACCAGGGCTAGCCCCTGCCCTGGGTGCAGCCCTGCCCAGCCCCCACCCCCGAAGCCCTGGGAGATGGTCTGACCAACTCTTCCACCCCAGAAAAGGCGTGTCCAAGCGCAGGGATGACCCAGCACTTGCTGCCTACTCAGACATACATCAGCTGTCACCTGGCTGCCCCGAAGCAGGCCACATGGAGGTGGCACCGTGACTCAGGGCTTCAGAGCTGTCTGAGGGCGTAGCCCACCCACCCTGCAGCGACCACGCAGCTCCCAGCCCAGCCAGTCTCTGCTTCCCTGCAGCGAGACCGGCCCTGCCTTGCCAGTGGACCCGGCTTCCCATTCTGGCGGGGATCACTAGAAACGCCTTCCAGTAACGCATGGGGCGCTTCCTCCGGCTCGGTTTAGTCTCTCAGGACCCGGCGTTGGATTTCCATTCCACGCCTCGGGAAGGGGAAACAGGCAGGGGCGGGGAGGTGAGGCCCCGCCCCTCTCCTCCCTACCGGCGCCCCCGGAGCCCCGCGCCCCCGATCCCGGGCCGGCCCTGCAGGGAGCGGAGTCCGCAGGCCCGGGCCGCCAGCCACGCACTCACCGCCTCCGCCGCCACAGACTTCCGGGTGCCGCGCCCGCGCGCCACCGCCGCCGCTGCCCAGGCCCCGCCCCCCCGCCCTCTGAGCGCCCGCCATTGGGCTGCGCCGTTAGGGGCGGGGCGACATACCGCGACCCGGACCACCGTTGGCTGCGCGCGCTGTCGTTCGGGGTCTGCAGCCCTCCCGGCGTCCCGCCCCCAGGTCTGCGCCAAGCCTCCGGGCTGCGTGGGCGTGTGGTGGCCTCGGGGCCTCCGCGGCTTTCCCAGCCTTCCGGGCGCCCCAGCTTGGAGGACGCCCTCAGGAGGTCGCGCCACTTGCAGCGGCCCGAGAGCATGCCTTCGGGGGCCCATTAGGGACGCGGCCTGAGCTCCAGGGGCCGTAGGTCACCTACCTGCCTGGCGGCCTTCGCTGGAAGCTATAGGAGGATGCCCACTTCCGGACCCACCCCTCAGGCGGGTTCGTGGCTCTGGACCTGGCCACCCCTCCCTTTTCTTTATGGCCCTCAGTTTTGTCTAGCCTCTGCCACTCTGGCCTTTGGCCTCCCTCCCTACTGCAATCCCTTCCACACTCAGGACAAACCCTGGACCAGGCTCTCCAGACCCACCCAGCCACTGTGGTCTCTGAGCCCACCCGGAGGCCGATCTACAGGTCCAGGCCCCAGGATGAAGAGTTGGCCCACCCTGAGCTGTAATGGGTGAGCAAGTGAGCAAGAGGTGGGAAGGGGCACTGACTGGGGGCCCTCCCAACAGGACAGAGGCATTCACTGGACTCTCTGCCTTCTTTGACCTCTGGGCTGTGTCTGGAGCCTGAGTGGGGGGCGGGGGGAGTGGAGAGTGAGAGGCCCAGGGACCAGGGCCTACTCCAAAGTGGGCGCTCAGCAAACTATGACAAGGATGACAGTTACATTAAGGATAATAATGGACACCTGGCTGGCTCAGTCAGTGGCGCATGCAACACTTGACCTCGGGATTGTACCTCTGAGCCCCATGATGGGTGTAGAGATTACTAAATAAAATCTTTTGGGCACCTGGGTGGCTCAGTCAGTTGAGCGTCAGACTCTTGACTTCGGCTCAGGTCATGACCTCACAGTTTCATGAGTTCGAGCTCAGCCTAGGGCTCTGCACTGACAGGGCTGAGCCTGCTTGGGATTCTCACTCTCTCTCTGCCCCTGCCCCACTTGTGCTGTCTCTGTTTCTCTCAAAATAAGCAAACTTTAAAACAATAAACAGGGGCGCCTGGGTGGCACAGTCGGTTAAGCGTCCGACTTCAGCCAGGTCACCATCTCGCAGTCCGTGAGTTCGAGCCCCGCGTCAGGCTCTGGGCTGATGGCTCGGAGCCTGGAGCCTGTTTCTGATTCTGTGTCTCCCTCTCTCTCTGCCCCTCCCCTGTTCATGCTCTGTCTCTCTCTGTCCCAAAAATAAATAAACGTTGAAAAAAAATAAAACAATAAACAAAGTAAAATCTTTTTTTAAAAAAAGGATAATAACAATGTGCTACACCAGGGTCTCAATCCACAGCTGTCATTCCCCTTTTTTACAGATGCAAACACTGAAGATCGGTGCAGTTACCTCACTTAAGGTAAAAAAAAAAAAGAAAAAGAAAAAGAAAAAGAAAAAGATGGCAAGTGTCATTGGCTGGATTAGCTTCCCAGTCCTGTGTGAAGACCTACTGTACTGATCCTGACTCAGAGCACTGATGCCCTGTGGAAAACTGGGGTTTAGAGAAGGAAAGGGCCTGGCTGGTGATCAGCAAAAGCAAGAATTGAACCCAAACCTGTCTGACACACCGAAAGGCCCATTCCAGCCCAACTCTCTGGCCATCTTTTCTGTGTTCTTCCTGGAACCCAACAGAAGCCCTTTACAGCCCTTTACTGAGGACTCCAGACGTCCAAAGACTCATGGCCAGCAGGCAGCAAACCCAGCGTGATGCATGGTCCTCCTTCCCACCATCCAGCAGGAGAATCCTTCTGGGCTGGTGCCAGTGATTTCCCTCAAGGCAGCCAGACCTCGCAGCCCACCCAAGAGATGGTAGTGTTAGACAAGCAAGACTTGGGGCTTAGGCACATGTGACCATGCCCAGGGAGACAGGGCAGCAGCTGCAGACCGGTCTTTCCTAAACACTGGACCACATACCTCAGAGGAGTGGGACACAGAATGGTGCCTTCCCATTGCCAGAAAAAGGGGATGTGGTCATGCATGGGTTGTACAGAGGTTCAAATCCTGGTCTGCCACGGAAGCATATGGCTCTGGGCCAGCCCCACCTCCAGCTACACTTTCCCCATCTAGATGGAGCTATGGCAGGCACTGTGATATTCTTTGTCACCACTGACTCCAGTCTGGACAACATTTGGTGCCAGGGAGCAGATAAGACCAGATAAGATGGGTTGGGGTTGGAAGCTGAACCCTGGGGTCTCAGGACTGGAAAGAGTTCACTGCCACCCCACCTCAGGTGACACACATCCTTAGATGGGGAGCTCACTGCCTTGTTTGGTCACCCTTTCAGTCTCTGAACATTTGTCACTGTTGAGAAGTTCTTCCTGACCTCCAGCTGAAACCTTTTCCCTCTATAGCTTTCCTCACATGTCCCAGGGATGTCTCTAAGCAGATGCCCACCAGCTGGGTGGAGGGGTTGGGAGAGAGGGAGGAGACTGGGTTACTGGTCCCTGTGGCAGTGGTCAAGCACTGGGGCTATCTATCCTGCTTTTGGACTGTTACTGACCCCTACTTGCAGCCTGGGTCATGGTGGGCCCACTGCCAGAGAGTAGCCTTGAGTCCTCTTGGCACTGACACTGTCTACTCTGCTCCCCTGTATATGGCTGGTAATCCAGCTTGGGGTACAGAATCCTGCCTGGAGTGGGAGGCAGGGAGGCAGTCCTCACTTAGGCCAGTTTTGGAGCACAATTCTCCTCTTTGCTCTCTCAAAGGCCTGTCCAGCCCCTCCTGCCACCATCAGCAAGTGTGTGGGAAAGGGGTGGTGCTGGACTACAAGCTCACTATGAGAATAGAGCTCCAGGAGGATCAGAGTCCAATGCCCCTGGGGAGATTTGTAGGACAGCTGGACTAATGAAATCCACTCCTAATGGAAGGAAGAGAACCCCCAAGCCCACAAAGCAGCTGGGTCAGAATGTCATCAGTGATGCAGCTCATAAGATAAGAGCTACCTTGCTCTTAGGGCCCCCTGTGTTCCAGAGAAGGACACTTCATTCTACCTGCTCAGAGCCACAAGTAACATCAGTATGCTAGAGTGTCAAATGTCTCTCACCTCAAGCGTCAACTTTAATTGATTGGTTGTGGCTGCCGGGCTCTAAAAGGCTGTTAGGGTGGATTTACTGTGTGCCAGGGTGTGTGCCAGGTACCACAGGAGGGACCCAATGTTGGTACCAGTGGTGAGTTCTGGCCCTACATCACTTCACTTCCTTTCTTCTGATCAAGCAACTATTGGGTGAACACTCTGGCTTCATGATGTGGGTGGATAAGACATACATGTCTGGTCTCCCCATTAGCACTGTCATGGGCCTGTGACTCCCTGGGTGTCCACTTCCCTGGGTAGACGTGGGGAATATGGTGGGCTGAAAATCTGGTGATTTCCAGGTGTGACCAGGGCTGGAAAGGCTTAGAACTAAGCATGCACAAGAGTCACTGGCCAAGGGGCCATCATATCATGAACTCCCTGAAATAATCCCAATGGGCAGCAACCCCATTGGTTCCTCCTCACACCATAAAGTTAAGAGGAGCTGGCCAAGGATTATGGTCCCATTTGTTGTTATATGTGTGCCTCGTGTCACTGCAGGGAACAGGTGGCTGCTATCTGGCAGAAAAAAAGGCACCTTGTGCTAAACTCTACCCAGGTGGCTGTACCCCACAGTGTTCCTCCAAGACCCCAAGTAGGGTGGAGAAAATGGGACACCAGGAAGTGTTTGTGTGTGTGTGGGGGGGGGTATAACTCCGCCCCACCCCCAGGCCCTGAGCTGTGATT